AAGATGGGCTAACATGCAGGAAGGAGCACAGGATGCTTTTATGGGAGGTAAATCTTAAAGAATTTGATTTAGAAATATTGGGATCTGGCAGTATTTCCCTTATAAACACTGACAATTAAACACCACCCAGTTGTCAATGTCAGAAAAATCATTCCTTTATACCACAGGTTCACCATGCTCAGTACAAAAAGAAAAATGTGTTACCTTGCAAATTCTAAAGAAACTCTATATGCAAGGGGAGCTAAACAATGTAATCCCTTTGATACTACTTATTTAGATGATGAAACTTATAATTTTACCAATTGTCATTTTGAAAATTAAACTTGCTACTTCTCTATTCCCTTTGGTTAAAAAACAATGCACCAGGCACTGAATATATTAAATTACAGAACCTTGCATTAACTCAGCTGGACCCCAGTGGGCCTGCTGAAACCAGTTTTAAGGTGAATCCAAAGCTGCTTATTGGAATTAAATCAACACCTTAAACAATAAGGTAAACATTACAGATTTTGTTTCTTTGATAAACACTGTTGTCAGGAAATCTAAAATTCAAGTTTTATCCAAGTTATACAAATAATTAATCTAGTCTGTAGAATTTGCCACATATTACTATAGGTTTGAGAATAAGCAGAACTATCCACAACTTCTCTGCTAGCTTTAGATCTGAGCCACACACTCAGGAAGCTGTCAACAGCGATGCTGTACTTACCACCAATGCCAGAACAAGAGTCCGCACCTTCTCCCCAATCTCAGGTGAGATGTCATTGCCAAACTGTTGCAGAGTAGTGAGAAAGCGTTTCAACTTGCTGAGCTGCCGAGCACCACAAGTGGCTGGCAACTGCTGGTTTGTTAGTGCAGATGATGTGGAAGAGGCAGGACCATTGCTGAATCTCTGTGGTGGTGATGGGGCACCATTCAGGGTAGGAGGAGAATGGTTGATTCCATTGCTTACTGAAAGAAAGCCAAAATGAAAGACTCAGTTTTAGTGCAAAATATAAGGACCTTCATTAATTTCTTCTTGTTTGCACTTCTTCATTTATTCAATTTTGTGAAGCACATGTTCAAAGAGCATGCAAAACTGTTTTCTGTCCTCGAGGAGACTGCTGTTTAATGAGACGGACTATCAGGTAGAAATGAAAACAGAGTAACACAGAAGTGTTAAAAAGGAAGTGCAGAGTGCCACAGGAGCACAGAGAAGGGACATCTAATTCTACAGGGGGCATGGGCAAGGATGGGTAGTTTTAAGAAAGACTTCTTGCAACAGGTAGTGCTTGAGATGAGTGTGGGACAATAAATCTTTCCAGTGACTGGACACTCATGCCCATCTTTTACGTCACATCACCTTCCCAATCTCAGGGTCCTAAAGACGCTAAGCAGTCAATTAGAAGGTAGCATGTGAGCAGGACAACCAGAGTTATGATAATGTGGGGGATATTTTTCTAGGCTATAGATTTAATGGCTTATTCCAACAAAAAGGTATACATCTCTTTGACCATTCAGAATACTAACGTCCATTAGAGTCACTTTCTCTCTGCCTTGACAGTGCTAGATTAATACTGCCAAATTCTTGGTCATTTAAGTAAAGTATCTTCAGGACTCCACAGAGGACATTTCCATTTCGTTGTTTTTTTTTTTAAGAGATGGGGTCTCACTATGCTTCCCAGGCTGATCCTCAAGTGATCCTCCTGTCTTAGCCTCCTTAAGTGCTGGGATTACAGGCATGAGCCACTGCACCCAGCCCCATTTTATATCTTTGATCAAATTATAAAAATGTGATTATAGTCACTTCTTGGTAGTTTTAATTTGGAAAACAATCCTCAACCAACATTTTTGGTGGCACGATGTAAAAACTTTCTTTGTCACTGAACCGTGAGATAAAACGACCTAGTACTTAAGTGTCAATCCGTTTTCATGTAATTATATCCATGCTTGAAAATCTAAGGTGAAATTGTATCTAAAAATATAAGAAATAATATGTCAAGACTTGAGTCATATTTAAAGAACCCAATCATTTAATCTTTACCTAGCTTAGGAAACTGACATTTACTTATTATATTTTGTCTAACAAAAACTTATTAATCATGAAAATTCTTCCACTTCCCTTCCTCTTCCTCTAAGCCAGTCATAGTCAGTTAACCATCTCTGTTCTTCTTAGATTGATCCTTATTCAAATCTGACCTGGCAAACTCTTCCTCATCCTATAGAGCTGTCACCTGTGTTAAGAAGCATTCTTTCTATTAATAGCACTCTGGGAGACAGAGGTGGGAGGATCACTTCAGCTCAGGAGTTTCAGATCAGCCTAAGCAAGAATGAGACCCTGTCTCTACTAAAAAAAATAGAAAAATTAGCTGGGCGTGGTGGCACATGCCTGTAGTCCCAGCTACTTGGGAGGCTGAGGCAGGAGTATCACGTGAGCCCAGGAGTTTTGGGTTGATGTGAGCTGTGATGATGTCACTGCACTCTAGCCTAGGCAACAGAGCAAGATTCTGTCTCAAAAACAAAAACAAACCATTTTTTGTCACACGCTGCTGCTCCACATTAAGGTAGACCCTGGTAGACTTACTAAATCTTCTCTGTGCTGTTTATACACATGCTTCCATTATTTTACTTCCCAATGTATACTTATTTCTTTCTGTATTTGAACTGCCTTAATAAACTGTGCACTTCTTGATAAATAGTACCTTACACATCTATGTATACTTTAAGTTTTGTAAACTGTGTATACTTTTGCTTTGTTCATTTGCTAGCAGAGGGTAAGCGTTCAGAAAAATGCTGCTTAATGATTCATTGCAAAAAAATACCAACAGGCTGAGAAAAAGAGGGTAAGTTCTCTTCTGTGTCTTAAAGGAGATTACTAAAGCTACTGGAAAGGAAAGGTCAACACTTAAACTCAGCAATCCAGAAAATTAGTTACAATGATCTGCCATTTCTTTGTTTTCACAGAAAAGTCAAATGCCATTGGAAAACTGCCCTCTTTTGAAGCAACCCATAAAAATAATATATTACTGGGCTTTTAGCCACCTTGACATGCAGAAAGTCTTTTTCATAGCCTCTTTCATAAAACTGTATGATCACATTTTCTGAAATAAAACATATCCACCTCCAAGTTGCTAAATATGGAGGTAAAAGGACCAAATTTATATACACGTATACCTATTGTCTGTGTCTTAAAATCTGAATGACACCTGGGGTTTAAATCTATTTCATTTCAAGATAGTACCTGTATCCTAAGGCTGTTTAACTTTGAGATCGAAATTAGAATTTAAGAAAAAGGAAGTCAAACTTTATTTCATTCATTCTGGCTCAAACTGAGGCTGCAGTTGCCAGTCACTCAATTTCAAATGTTTTGGGAAAATAATAATTAAACTTTCTATTAAAGCTGGATATCTTACATTCTCTTCTCTTGCTTTTTAAAGTGATAAACACACAAAACACAAATTTTTGAGCACAGATAGTATGGAAGTTTGTGTAATGGCATTTAAATAAAACAATACATATGGCATCTAGCACAGTGCTCTGACACTTTTTGGGCATTCCACAAATAGCAAGTGTGTTCTAGTTTATGAGGCAAAATATCTGTAAGAGAGTCAGTGCGAACTGGGGGTGGCAGCATGTGCATGGGAAGGCAGAATTCAAATTATAATCAAGACATGTATGTATGTTATAAGTCTAGATTTTAAACTGAAGTTTGGGGTTTTTTGGAAGTACAATATATACATATGACTGAAATTGCTGAGTCATAGGGTATGTGGAAATTCAGCTTTAGTATATTTTGCCAAACAATTTCCAAAAGTAGTTGTTCCAAATTACACTCCAACCAGCAATGTATGAGTGCTCAAGTTGCTCCATACATACTTACTAAAACTCGATAATTCTTTCTCATTTTGAACATTCTGGTGGGTATATCGCATTGGGTTTTAGTTTGCATTTCCCTGATGGCTAGTGAGGTTGAACAACTTATTACACATTTACTGGCTAATATAATTGTTATGGTCTGAAATATGTCCTCCCATCCCCCAACTCCCAATTCATATGTTGAAGTTCTAACCCCTTGTGCCTCAGAATGTGATTATATTTGGAGACAGAGGTGTAAAGAGGCAATTAAAGTTACCTGAAGTCATATGGATGGTCCCTAATCCAATATGACTGATATCCTTATAAGTAGGGGAAGAGATACTAGGGATACATGCACACAAAAAGGAAAGGCCATGTGAGGACATAGCAAGAAGGTAAGGCCAAGGAGAAAGGCTTCAGGGCAAACCACACCTGCCAACATCTTGATCTTTGAATTCTAGCTTCCAGAATTGTGAGAAAATTAATAAAAATATATTGTTTAAGCCACAGAGTCCGTGGTAGTTTCCGGCAGCTCTAGCAAACCAATGCGACAATATTCTCTTTTGTAAAGACCTTACTTACCATGACAGACCTGGAACATTTTTAGAACTAGTTCTATAATTTTATGAAACTTATAATACTTTGAATCATATAAATCAATATAATAATTTAAATTCATTATTGTTAGAGTCAAAGAAATAAAAAGAGTTATTTACCGGTCAAAGAGTATGAAAACAAAATGTTTAAACCACTAAGTATCCAAATACCTAAGCTAAGTACTATTCTCAGAGGGAATAAACAATAAAAGTAAGAAACGACAATTTGTATCTATCTACCTATACATCTATCTATCTATCTTTTTAATAGCATTTTGAAAATGCCTGAATAGTATATATGGAAGGCTTAATGGAAATCAGCCACTTAGATCCAAATGTCACTCTGAACTACAAACCCAAATAATTAAAAGGTCTCACATGCTGTAGGGGTAAAGGACACTGGCCTCGGTCCTCCAGGATTTATTGGTGGGAGGGGTGGCATGGTGGGAGGTGAGGATCTGGACTGTATCTTCACTTCCACAGGCGACCCAGGCATTGCTGGCACCCTTTTCTCAGGACCAACTGCAGAGAATAAAAGAAATGGAGGTCAGAATTTTCCATAAGATAATACAAATAGCAACAATAATTTGAAATACCAACATATTTTCCTAGAAAATTGAGAAGTTAAGAAGATGTTTAGAATAATGGGTTGAATAGTGGTCCCCCCTCCAAAAGATAGTCTATGTCCTAACATCTGGAACTGCACATGTTACTTTATTTGGAAAAAAGGATCTTTGAAGATATGATTAAGTTAAGGATCCTGGGAGATCATCTTCGATTATCTGGGTGGACTCTAAATCCAATCTGAATGGTGTCCTTAAAGAAGAGAAGAAACACATACACAGAGGGAAAGTGATGTGAAGACAGTCACACAGAGAGAATGCCATATGATAGAGGCAGAGACTCGAGTGATGCATCTACAAGCCAACGAATGCTAAGGACTGTCAACAACCACCAGAAGCTAGGAGGCATGGAATAGATATTCCTCTGAAGCCCCAAGAAGGAATCAACCTGGATGATACCTTGATTTTGGACTTCTGGCTTCCTAAACTGTGAGAGAATAAATTTTTATTGTCTTAAGCCACCCAGCAGTTTGTGATACTTTATTAAATCAACCCTAGAAACTAAAACCAGGGAATAAGAACAAGGGGTAACATGAACTGAAAGTTAATAGTCCAGATAGATGGTGGCTGAGAAAGGAAGAAACCAGATTACAAATTTAGCTTACTTCAGATGCATTCCTTTTTGACTCTCCATATAAATGAATCAAATTAGTAGGGGGGGAAAAGTTAATGTGTGATCTAGACTGGTAGGCCTCAACCACATGACATGGAAATAGAATCATAATCAATTGTATACAAATTATTACTAATGATGAAGTACTAAATTTTTATATATACCAACTATACCAAGTAGGAAAAAAGAGATGGAGTCAATATTTCTGACATCAGGCATGTAAATGTCATTTGTTCAAAAAGATGAAAAGTAGAGCTGATTCTAAACTAAGCAGAGGCTACTTCACACTAAATGGCAACAAAATTCCAGAAAGAGAAATCAGATAAAATTAATGATGTTAGAATTAGGCCCGGGCCAATATGAATCAGACTTGATACTGACAAGTAACATTCTAATATCTTTAAGAAGTTTTTTTCCCTATTGAAAGGAACTTGTTACATACTTGGTTAATAATACGGCCAGGGCTACCATAACCATCTTTAAATTGAACTATGTTTCTTGGTGACTCTAAGCTTTTCACTGAAGTACCATGTATTCATTCTCTAATAATTGCAGAATTCAATTTTAAAGTGCAAGAAATGGGCAGCAACGGTCCATATGAGATATTATGTCAAACTTTCCTTTCTCTGAGAGCACAGCTACAAAGACAACACACACAGGAGTGTTCACGATACCGGCAACAAGGCACATCTTTGCACATTCACAGGATACTTTCTAACGAGAAAAATACATTATTCTCATTTTCAAAAACTATTTTTATGCTTGTCTGTAGTGGCCACATTTGGGAAAGAGATAAAATGAATAATGAAAGTCAATCAAGGAAGCAATGCCCTCAAGTTATAAATCCCCTGACAAAAATGTGCAGCTCTCTGAGAACCACGTGGGGCAACACTCCGCCAGCCCTTCCCATTGCTCTGTTCAGGACGTTTTCTTTGTGAAATTGATGGTCGTCCTGTCTGATTAGTGGACTAATGAGCTGTTGCGCTTGCCTTTTTCTCCCTGACAGTATTTTCTCAATGCCCTTCAGAGAACAGTTGACACATTTCCAGCTTTTCCATCTGGGGCCCAGCTTTCTGGAGGGGGTGTGGGAGAAGGGAAGGAAGGAACTGACAGTTGTCTCGCACTGTAATGCGTTGTGTATAGTGTGCAACAACCTAGAGGGAGCCTTTCTGCAGACCACCTGCCTTTATAGCAAGGGCGCCAAAGGCCTGAGGAGGGCTCAGCAGTGAGATGTGTTTTAACATTCAGCACTTGGCAGAATAAAAAAGTTGGAGCGGCCCAACTGCAGAACACTGAACTGTATGCTCTTACCAAATGAAAGCTTAGATAGAGGGCACAACCCAGCCGCTAGAGTACTGTTTACAGATTACCACTACCGGTTTCTTGTTCATTTCATTACTCATAAACCTGCAACACCAGTGTTATTCCTCATATTTCAAGCAATAACAAAGCAAAAAAGGGCACAGGTATGGAAACCAAGAGATTTGGTGTGACTCTTCATTCTGTTACTCACAAGCTATATGAATTTTAGTAAATCATTTCTGGGTCTCATTTTCAACGTTTGTAAAATAAGTAATGAGACCAACCTGATAAGAAAGATGTAAGGATTACATCTTTATGCTGGACTAGTGTTAGGCATAAAGAGGGTACTCAATAAACAGTAAGGATGTTTATAATACAGGAATCCTGGTATCAAATTCTAGATTTACCACTTAGCTAGTCATGTGACCATGTCCAAGTTAATATTATGCTTCCTGTGGAAAATGGGTTTACTATCAACGATTTATCCATTTAACCTCATAAATATTGTGCTGAATAACCACAGAATTAACAGTTGCAAAGGCACCAAGTACAAGGCAGGTGCTATTTTTGTTAGAGGCTGCGTTGCATGAATGCCTTTCAGAGTGTGAGATCTGAGTATTAATAGTTTATAACATGATTAAATTCAGCATTGCTCAGATGACAGGTAAGCTCCAAACGCCTTCATCCCAAAGCAGGCATTCTAACCCTCTGCTTGGGGACAAAGTAGGATCAGAGTAACTCCCTGCAGAATGATGACTATGACATCACTGTTAGTGACTTTTTTCCTGAAGTTTTATAAAACTGATGGTTATGTGTTATATTCTAGCTGAATCCCTTGAAAGAACCAACCATATCTTGAGATCTTTTCAAACCCCAGAGAAACTTAGAAAAATTTAGTTCAAGGAAAAGAAATCCCTTTCTCTCAAGTGTGTCTTGAGCCTATAAACACCACTACATGGCTATCAAGCAGCCATAAAGTATTTGGTCCTAGAAAATCAAAATAACCCTTAGTTTTGCCATAAAGGTCCAACTCAATTCTAAACATAGATTCTAAGATCCAAAATAACTGACAACTTAGTCACCCTATGAGTTTCTGCTTTATTTTTAATATATTTAAATATATGTATACACACATATATTAAAAAATAAAACCCAGACACGACCACATGTATTTACAAAATCAATGATGTTTCAATATCTAACCATGGAAAGCCAAAGAACTTGATGAGCCAAAGTGGAAAAGTATGTCTTAATATTAATTTTATTTCTTCACTGTGCAATATGCTAAGGATGTCATGAAAATGGAAAACAGATGAAAGAGAGAGCAAAGTAATAAACAGCTCTCTGTGTGATAGCAGTGGTATTTTTTCCTACATAGGAATTTGAAGAATAAAACATGAAACTAAAGAACAGAAGTATTCTATAGTTCCAAGAGAAAGTAATATTGAACATAACAACAGTCCCCCCTTATCTGTGGTTTCCCTTTCCATGGTTTCAGTTATCTGCAGTCAACCACAGTCCAAAAATATTAAATGAAAAATTCCAGAAATAATTCATAAGTTTTAAGTTGTGCACTGTTCTGAGTAGTGTGATGAAATCTCACACCATCCCACCTGGGACGTGAATCATCCCTTCCTCCAGCGTATTGATGCTACCTGCCTGTTGGTCACTTAGTAGCCCTCTGGTGATGAGATCATCTATGGGGTATCACAGTGCCTGTGTTCAAACATCCCTTCTTTTACACAATAATGGCCTCAAAGTATAAGAATAATGATGCTGGCAATTTGCTGGCAAAGAGAAGCCATAAAGTGCTTCCTCCAAGTGAAAAGGTGAAAGTTCTTAATAAGGAAAGAAAAAAATTGTATGCTGAGGTTGCTAAGATCCACGGTAAGAACGAATCTTCTATCTCTGACATTGTGAAGAAGGAAAATGAAATTCATGTTAGTTTTGCTCAAACTGCAAAAGATACTGCCATAGTGCTTATCAAGGCTCAATTAAGATGGAAAAGTCATGTGTTATACACAGGGTTCAGTACTATCCATAGTTTCAGGCATCCATGACTGACTTGAAGGTCAGTCATAAGTTCTGGAGGCCTCGACTTGAGATGGGTGTCTGAAGGGGGGTGCAGTTTTGGGAACTGAGACCTTATCCTGTAGGATCTGATGCTATTTCCAGGTAGACAGTGTTTGAATTGAAATAGAGGACACCAAGGTAGTGTTGACTGCTTGGTGTGGGTGGGAAAAACTCTCACATTTGGTCACAGAAGTCTTCTTCTGTATAGATGATTATTGTGGTGTGAGAGCAGAGGACAAACACAGTTTTGGAGTTTTTCCCAAAGCACAATCTCTTGATGGATGAACAGGGGCTCAGGTGATGGAGCAGCCTCAGGTAAGAAGGTAAGGTGGAATGTACTCTGAAGAAACCTATACTTAAATCTACATTAAAAAGGTGACATCCAGGCCTGGTGCGGTGGCTCACGCCTGTAATCCTAGCACTTTGGGAGGCCGAGGCGGGTGGATCGTTTGAGCTCAGGAGTTTGAGACCAGCCTAAGCAAGAGCGAGACCCCGTCTCTACTAAAAATAGAAAGAAATTAGTTGGACAACTAAAAATACATAGAAACAATTAGCCAGGCATGGTGGCGCATGCCTGTAGTCCCAGCTACTCAGGCAGGCTGAGGCAGAAGGATTGCTTGAGCCCAGGAGTGTGAGGTTGCTGTGAGCTAGGCTGACGCCATGGCATTCTAGCCCCGGGCAAGAGAGTGAGACTCTGTCTCAAAAAAAAAAAAAAAAAAAAAAAACGTGAACTAGAGCCACATGTACCAAAAAGAGAAATTCCAAAACAACGCAGTAATATTGGGTAAAAAAAAACGCAATAACAAAAAGGTTGCAGGAAAAATATATGGATAGTGATGTTTCTATAAAGTCCAAAAACATAAAGAACAATTTACATGTTAAGGGAAACATGTATATGTAGTCAAA